ATTTTTTGGTTGCAGCCGTCATTGTTGTTTGGCGGGCCCGGGCTGGGGATTCGAACCCGCCACCTTAGGTGTACGTGGCTGGCGCCTTAGCCGGTTAAGCTATAGGCGCCGAGCCCAGATAGGTCATTTATAACTGCAAAGGGAAGTGCCCCTGGAGCAGTCCAGCATTTGCCACCTAAATCAAGTGATCCAGCTGAGTGGTACTAAGCTGAGACCCTGGTACAATGTGCCTCCTGAAGACACCACCATCAATGAAGAATGCCCACTGACTGACCCTGGACTTTATCCTCTAGTGTACAGGAGATAAAGATACAGGGTCAAAGGACCTCTGAGGAAATAATCAGGCAAATCCAGAACATGGGGCATCCTATAAAATGAATGGCTGAAAAAGTCAATGTCAAGAGGGAAAAAGAAAAAAAAAGGTTAGGATGACTCTTCTAGACTAAAATTGCCTAAGGAGATACAATGAAATAGAATCCTGGTTTGAGAAAAAGCCCCATAATAGGCATTCTTGGTACAAGAGAGGACATTTGAATAAAAGTGGTTATTAGATGGGATTGATCTTCTTTAGGTATGATAGTGTTCTTATGGCTCTGTGGAAGAAAAGACCTTAGTAATCTTAGGCATATTGAAGTATGTAGAGGTCAAGTGTCATGATAGCAAATGGTCAGACAGAAATGTTTGTGTCTGTGGTCATACACTGCAATAAAGCAAATACAGCAAAATGTCTATGTGTTATTTTTATAATACGTATTTGAGAAAAAAAGACAATGACTGTAGCAGGTATGTTAATGGTTTCTATTAAAAAATGGAGAGGGAAGATGCTCCTCCTTCCATGCGCAGTCTCAGGCTGGCAGAGAAGATATCACAAGGTAGCTCTGGGAAGGTACCAGGAATAAGGAGCTTTAATGTTTCCTTCTGCCCTTTTTACCACTTAAGGTAAGCACATGCCCCAGTAACTTGAGGGTAGGGAACACACAGACCATTAACAGAAGACAGGAGGAGAAATGATCCTTCTGCCCCAGGGAATGGGAGAGCTGATCACACTCTGGTGGATGGTCCCTCTCAAATCAGCTACATTCTTCAGCCTAGGGGCCTAGCTTTGCTCACAATTCAAGCCATCAGGTGAAATGGGGTTTCCTGCTTGTGGTAAATGCTCATCTTTAATTTGGAAAGGAAGATAACTTCTCCGTCCCTTAACTAAAACACTCCATCTCCTGGAAGCCCTCGCTACTCCCAACGGCTGTCAGTTGCTCCACCATGCGCCCCTCAGTGCCCATCATAGCAGCAAACCCCAGCAGAGAAGTGACACGCTACCCAGGGGGCATAGTTATTCTTGTCTGGCTGGATGATCTTCAGGTCCAGAATGAGTTCAGCAAGCACCAGGAGGGCGTCCAGAATGACCAGGCAAATGATGATAACCTACAGACAGAGGGGAAGAGCCAGAAGCCATGAGACCCAACAGGGACCCTCCTCTCATCATTAAGAGCTGGTTTAGAAACATGTGTGAGGCTCCGCGTTAAATCCAGCCCGGGCCCACCAAACAACAATGATGGCTGCAACCAAAAAATAGCCAGGCATTGTGGTGGGCGCCTGTGGTCCCAGCAACTTGGCAGGCAGAGGCAGGAGACTCGCTTGAACCCAGGAGTTGGAGGTTGCTGTGAGATGTGATGCCACAGCACTCTACCTAGAGGAATAGCTTGAGGCTCTGTCTCAAAAAAAAAAAAAAGAAAAAAAGAAAGAAAGAAACATGGGTGAAACCACGTGGTAAAGATGCTGAGGATGGGAGGGAAAGACTGCTGGGAGGGACCCTATTGGCGGCCAACCCCTCTCCAGCAAAAGCCCCATCCTTCCTGCCATCTCCTAGGTCCAGAGTATCTCTATACTGTGCATCTACTGACCTTGGTCACTGTTTCTCAAATACTGCCTCTTAAACTGAACTGCCACTTCCTAGATGACAAAAATTAAATAATCAGCTTGGCGCCTGTGGCTCAATCGGCTAAGGTGCCAGCCACATACACCCAAGCTGGCAGGTTATAATCCAGTCTAGGCCCACCAACAACAATGATGGCTGCAACAAAAAACAGCTGTGCGTTGTGGTGGGTGCCTGTAGTCCCAGCTACTTGAGAGGCTGAGGCAAGAGAATTGCTTAAGCCCAGGAATTGGAGATTGCTGTGAGCTGTGATGCCAAGGCACTCTACCCAGGGTGACAGCTTGAGGCTCTGCCTCAAAAAAAAGTAAATAATCATTTTTAAAGTTTTTATTTCTCTATTTTGGGGGGTTACTGTTGTCTGGGTACCTGCAGAATAGATGTTTAATAATTCAACATGTCCTGGCCTCCTGCAGATCACTGGGGCACAGCAATGGCCACTATACTCACAGACCAACTCCCACAGAGCAGGGAGGTGCTTGCCTGGCTCACATGCTCATCAGAGCTGAGGATTTCCTAAAGACTGAGAAGAGCTGCTGGGGGGAAAGATAATCTCGGAGGCTTTGTGACCTGCTGATGGAGGAGGAAAAGTGGGGATTAGGGTGGTTGGGCAGTTTCACTGATAGCTATTGCGGGAAATAGCTGGTGGTGGTGGCAGTCATAGTGACGGAGATAACTAATGGCAGGCTTGGCCCCTAGCTCCTGTATAATGCCGCAAGCCTTGGCACAGCCTCAGCATTACCAAAGCTTCAGTGAGAACACTAAGGGAGGGGTGGAAGGGACAGCATTCTGGGAGACGGCGGTGGAATCACAACCCTATAGGACCCTTTGTGACACCTCTCTCCCTTGGAATTTCTGGACCATTACCTCCTTCCCACAGGGCCTCTCCTCTCACTCTTTCCAATAATAGATTTTGACCTCTGAAAATTAATCTGTTATCTTGGCAGTTTCTACAGTGTCAGGATGAAATTAAATAAGGCCTATATGAGAGCAAACTGTTAATCCTTTGACCAGTTCAACCTGTAGGTAATTATTTCAGTAATTAAAGTATATGATGACGTGGTTTACTATGAAAATTGTCCAGAAAATTGCTTTGTAATGTGATTTTTACACATATCCAAATTCAGCAACTTAATAAATATTCAAGCCTCTGGTGATTTTTTTTTTCTTCCATCATTTTATTTTAGAGCTAAAGGGATCTGAGAGCTCACGTGGTCTAAAATCCAGGCATAGAGACTTTAGGAACAGACCTAATATTCAACCATAAGAAGGAATAAAGTTCTGATATATGCTACTGTGGGTGAACCCAGAAAACATCCTATTAAGTGAAAGGAGCCAGACACAAAAAACCACAAATTACATGATTCCATTTATATAACATGTCCAGTCCTTAGAGACAAAATGCAGATTGATGGTTGCCAACATCTGGGAAAAACAGGGAATGGTGACTGACTGCTTAATAGGTACAGAGTTTCCATTTGGGGTGATGAGAATGTTCTGGAACTAAATAGTGGTGAGTTCACTATTACAACATTGTAAATGTACTAAATAAATGCCACAGAATTATCTACTTTAAAATGATTAATCTTATGTGAATCTCACCTTAATTTTCAAAAGAAGCCACCAAAAAGAAAAAGGAGACAGATTGACCCAAGTATACAAAATTCCAATGCCTGGTAATCCCCGAGGCCATGAATTTCCAATTCATAAGGCAGTACTAGTTTTGAGGGGAACCACGGCACAAAGAAAAATGCTAAAAATTCAATGAAGCCGGTTAATTCCAAATCCTCACCCTGGCAAAGACAGCCATGGCCAGCTACACAGGCCAGAGATACAGGGTACGGGCCATGGCATGAGCTTTAGTGTTCTCCTGGGGAGAAGGGGGATGGCCACATTTTATACACCAGAGCAACAATGGGAGTGTGACAGGAGGTAATGCATGGAGAATGTTCAGCACAAGGCCTGGCCCATGGTGCTAAGGAATAAAAATGAAGTCCTTGACTTTTGGGACAACCTGCCCTTGGCTTGCTTCTATCCTGTCCTCTCAGAGCTTTCCTGGAAGCCTGAATCACCCCATGTTCTCTCCTTTGGTTGTGCTAGTGAGAAGTGAAAGCAATTATCATGTCACCTTGGCCACTTCAAACTACCTGAGAAAGGGATTCCTGTTTGCTGATTCTACCTGCAGAAATCAACACCCCTGAACCCTCATCTGCTGCCCCAGCCTGTCCTCCCTGTTTCCACTCTGAGTCTCTATATAAATCTGATGTCACCCCCCACTACTTAGAACCTTTTTTTTTTTTTTGAGACAGAGCCTCAAGCTGTCCCCCTGGGTAGTGTGCCGTGGCATCACAGCTCACAGCAACCTCCAACTCCTGGGCTCAAGCGAGTCTCCTGTCTCAGCCTCTCAAGTAGCTGAGACTACCGGCGCCCACCACAACGCCCGGCCATTTTTTGGTTGCAGCTGTCATTGTTGTTCGGTGGGCCCGGGCTGGATTCGAACCCGCCACCGTAGGTGTATGTGGCTGGCGCCTTAGCCACTTGAGCCACAGGCGCCGAGCCCACTTAGAATCTTTGATGGCAGCCCACTACCTACTGATAACTGTCCCTCGCCTCCTCTCTTGCCAAGTTGGCTACACCTGAGCCACAGACATCCTTCTCTGTTCCTTGGATGCCACGGTCTCTTTCCTGCCTGGGCCATTGGTGAATGCAGCCCCTCTCTAGGAAAGCTTTTCCCTTCCTTCCCACAGGGTCCCCGCCTGCTCAGTCTGCAAGTGGCACCTCCTCCAACTCCAGTTCTTGATCAGGTCTCCCTCAGGATCTCTCAGAGCCCCTTCTGTCTCCATTTGTAAACAGTATTTATCTCAGTGGTAATTCCAGTAACTCATGCCTCTCCACAGACTGTCAGAACCTTGGGGAGGGCAGGGATATGTCCACCAATTTGCTGCTGTAAACAGTAGGTACTCAATAAGCAACTGTCAAATAAGTAGATAAACATCTTGTTTTACAAGTCTTTTTCCCTAGAGTAGGCCTAGTGGCTCGGTGGGCCTAGTTGGGGTGGGGATATCCTGAGGGGTGGTCCAGGGCTCCTCAGGCAGCTGGAAGGAAGTTGGCCCTTCCTTCTCCTGAAATTGAAGGTTTGAGATTTCAACCCCAATGACTTAATACCATGTTTCCCTTCCTGTCACAGCCAGAGAGGAATGAGCTGCATGTGCTGTTGGCTTGCTTTGTTTTTTTAAGCCACATGAGTGGGGAAAAAAAAGACCAAAATAAAAAAATCTTTTCATCTTGGAACTAAGTCAGTGATGGGAAAGGAAAGGGCTGCTCTCTCTGCTTTCAGAAGGGGCACGGGCTCAAGGAGGAGCTGCTTTACTGTGGCTTAGGATACCTGCAGCAGTGACCCCAAACTGGTTGCCTCTGAGAACCAGACTGCCAAGGAGCTGTGCCCTTTCCTAATGCCACCAGGCCTCCTGCAGAACCCACGAACTGAAATGTACTTCCAGACACTACCTGCCCACCACAGGGCCAGCCAGGCTTACCTGCACTGGTCCTTTGATATCAGAAAGGTCCTTTACAATGAACCCCACAGAAAGTTCAGTTCCCTTTGCCCATCTGTGAGGACCACACCTTCCTCTGCTGTTCTCCCCATAACCATACCTGGAGGATAGTGGAGCGTTAAAGCCGGGCAGGTACTTCTGGCTTCATTCCACAGGAGACTCCCCTGGTGATGCATTTTCAGAGCAAGGGACCCTTTTGGCCTTGTTCAAGAGCAAGCACTCAGCTGTCTCCAGTGTTTGCCTTTCAATTTACTTTGTGTATACGTGTGATAAAATTTGTATAATGTAAAATTGACCATTTTAACAATTTTAAAGTTGGCATAAAGTTTGGTGGCATTAAGTATATTCAAAAGGTTGTGTGAATCTAGTTCCACAACATTTTCATCACCCTATATGGAAACCTGACCTCTGGCAACCACTACTCTACTTCCTGCCTGTATGAATCTGCCTGTTCTAGACACTTCCTATAGAATCTATGGTCTTCTATGACTGGTTCTTTTCACTTGGCATACTGTTTTCCTGATTCATCCACATCATAGCGTGGATCAGCATTTCATGCCTTTTTATGTCTGAAAAATATTCCACTGTATGGACAGACCACATTTTGTTCTTCTTTATTTTTTCTTAGAGATAGTCTCACTTTGTTGCCCTCAGTAGACTGCCGTGGCATCACACAGCTCATAGCAACCTCCAACTCCTGGGCTTAGGTGATTCTCTTGCCTCAGTCTCCCAAGTAGCTGAGACTACAGGCGCCTGCCACAACACCCGGCTATTTTTTGCTGCAGTTTGGCCAGAGCTGGGTTTGAATCCGCCACCCTCGGTATATGGAGCCGGCACCCTACCCACTGAGCCACAGGAGCTGCCCCTACATTTTGTTCTTAATGAACCTTTTATTTACTTTCAGATTACGGTTGTTTACCCTCTGAGAGTGCAGGATATGCCCACTGCAACGTAGTGTGGCATGGGGTACCTGGCATGTGGTGAACATCTGTGGGCTGGAGGAGGCAGTGGCAGAGATGGTTCCACCCTGGTCAGCCGCCTACCCTTCTTCCCCTGTCTGGGGCATCTTGGGCTTCTGCCCCACCTACCTGAAACCTGTGAGAGCTGAACAACTTCCTCAACTTGCTCCTGAAGTCAAGGGGAGGCCTGGGTGCAGGGACAGGGGCAGTAGCTGGGCCAGAAGCCTGGCCTTCCTCGTCTGAGGCTGGCGTAGGTGGCAGCTGCTGGTCCTCCTCATCCTCCTCCTCTTCATTCTCCCACTTTTTGTAGTTGATATTCCAAGCTTGGTAGTCGTCACCAACAACAGTGAAGTGCTTTAAGAACTTGCTCATCCTCTGGCCGGAAGCCACCTTGGCCCTGCGGGTGACTGCCTGAAGGGGCGGGGACAGAGCACACAAACTTTAGGCAGGGTAGCTCTCAGAGCCTGTGGAGATTGCTCAGACCTGACACTGCTCTGGTGGGGAGGGGTCAGGCCTGGCCACTATGGATGAAGACAGCCCCAGGTGCTCAGAGCACTGTGAGGTCACAGTGGTTACTCATGTTTCTATTTTTGGAATCTAGGGTCTCAGTATCTATGAGCCAACAGGAAACTCCAGACCCCACTGGGCCTGTCTCTGTGGTCTGGTTAGCACCAACCAACGGAATCGGTGCTGCAGCCTAGTCACAAAATACCCACCACAGGGCCAGGCATAAATAGCAGAAGGGTTGCCCCATAGTTCAGAGACATCACACCTGAAAACTGAAGCTGAGAGAGGCAGAGTAGGGAGGAGAAGCCAAAAGTAAAAGTACCCAGATTTTCACAGAAAAGTCACGAGACTAATGATAAGTAGGGTGATGTTAAAAAAGAAAGGAAAGTCATGAGACCCTCACCCTTCATGTCACAAATTAGTCTTTGACAGGTGTAGCAAATGAATTTTTTTCTAAGTTCAGCAGTACTATTTTAAATCCCAAAGCAACAGCAAACATCCCTTCTCCCTTCTTAGCTCATTTACCCTACCAGGTATCAAATTTTTCACAAAGTTAAGTAATTTAAACTTACGGGTATGAGTACAAGAAGAGGTAATATAATCACTGGATCAGGAAAATAGCCTGATCAGATCTATGCCCTGAGGGAATCTGGAGGTGAGGTGGTGGCAGTCCAGATAACTGGGGAAAGACCAGAGAGTTAGGACACTTGGCTTTCCCCACAGAAAAATACAAAATCTGATCCCTGCCTTACTCTAGGCACACAAAAATAATTTTCAGATGCATTAACATTAATGTGTATAAGTTTATTTAAAAAAATCCTTGGCTATGCCTATAATCTTAGCACTCCGGGGGCCAAGGAGGGAGGATCCCTTGAGCTCAGGAGTTTGAGGTTGCTGTGAGCTTTAATGACACTACTGTACTCTAGCCAAAGCAACAGAGCAAGATTCTGTCACAAACAAAAAGAAACAACCAAAACCCTTTAAAAGTCTTACAACAAAATATGGGCAAGTATCTTCATGACCTCAGGATAGATTGCTTAAGACAAAAAACACAAAACAGATACTTTTATATGATATGCACATGTACACACACAAGCCTACAAAGTTAAAAGACACATCACAGACTGGGAGTTAATATTTGCAATATACTTAATAAAGATTTAGTGCCCAGAATATATAAAGAAATCTTACAAGTAAAAAAAAAAAAATAGAAAAAGCAAATTCTATGGAAAAATGAGCAATGGATATTAATAGACAGGTCACCTAAGAGAAAACCCAAATGGTTGAGATGCTCAACCTCACTAATACTCAGGAAAATAAAAACTGAAGTAATAATCGCACATCTTTTCACTCCTGAAGTTGGCAAGGATCTTCAAGTCTACACATCAAATGCTGGTAAGCATGTGAAACAATGGGGTCTCCTAAATACTGAAGATAGGAATAGACACTGGCACCTCCATTTTGGGAAGCATCTTGGCATCGTCAAGTTGAAGTTAGCATTTTTTTTTTTTTTGAGACAGAGTCTCACTATATCGCCTTTGGTAGAGTGCTGTGGTGTCACAGCCTACAGCAACCTCAAACTCTTGGGCTTAAGCAATTCTCTTGCTTCAGCCTCCCAAGTAGCTGGGACTACAGGTGCCTGCCACAACGCCCAGCTATTTTTTGTTGCAGTTGTCATTGTTGTTTAGCTGGCCTGGGTTGGGATCAAACCTGCAACCCTCAGTGTATGTGGCTGGCACCATAACCACTGTGCTATGAATGCAGAGCCACCAAACTTTTCTTAATGACATGTTCAAGAATGTTCACTGAGCATTAGCTGGTTCTCATGGTGCACACCTGTAATCCTGCTGAGGCAGGACAATTGCTTGAGCCCAGGAATTTGAAGTTGCTATGCACTAGGCTGACCCCACAACACTCTTTCCCAGGCAACAATGTAAGACTGTCTCCAAAAAACCAATCAAGTGTAAGAAGACAACGTAGGCTGGGCGCAGTGGCTCCTAACACTCTGTGTAATCCTAGCACTCTGGGAGGCCAAAAAGGGCAGATTACCTGAGCTCAGGAGTTGAAGACCAGCCTGAGCCAAAGTGAGATCTCATCTCTGAAAAAAAAAAGCCAAACACTGTGGCGGGCACCTATAGTCCCAGCTACTTGGGCTGAGGCAAGAGAATCATTTAGGCCCAAGAGTTTGAGGTTGCTGTGAGCTATGATGCCACAGCACTCTACCAAGGGTGACAAAGTGAGACTGTCTCAAAAAAAAATGTAGAAGAATATGAACAAATACCATTTAAATTAAATTTAAAAATATATAGAAAATGTTATACATAATTTTTGAAATAAACATAAGTGGAAACATACACACAAAAAGGGATTTCTGCTTCTAAACATGATAGAGTAACTGGTAGCAAATTATCTCCAATGCCAAAAACAATTATAAAACTAGAGAAACATAAGAAATTACTATGATCCCTTAGAGAAGAGAAAAAAATGAGGTGAACCCCACAATCTCCCTGGGTTTGTGCCTGGAGGTACTTTGTGGACTTGTGAAAGTAAAGACTATTGTTAGGGCTACTGAGGCTCCTGCCCCTCTTAAATTTGCATGGCAAGGCACCACAAAAAGAAAAGCTGTGCAGAAAAGGAGATCCAAAAAATGGACTATGGGTGCTTGCTGTGGCAGCATATATATTAAAACTGGAGCAATACAGAGAAGATTAGGATGGGCCCTGTGCAAGAATGACATACAAAATTTGTGAAGCAGTCTATATTTTTAAAACAACAACAAAAACAAAAAATAGGCTTTGGCTGAGTCCTAAACTTCATATGTGCACAGCAAGACTCCATAAAGCAGGGCAAAATATGACTTTTAGGAAAAAAACTCACGAGGAGCTATAAACTAAACAACTATCAGAGATTACCCAGGACTGGGTTAGGACATGTGTGAGTTCCCAACAGTCAGACTTTGTCAAGCACCTATGCATTCAGTAGAAATTCCAGGAAAGCCATGCTTTAAAAGTAAACCTGCTCTAGCCCTAGAGTAAGGGCTACCTTAGGCTCATTCCCAACAAAGGTTAAAAATAAGCCTTGAAAAGATCAAACTGATCCCCAATGAAATCAACTACCTATTGGAACAAAACTCAACTCTATTAGTAAGACAATCATATACACTTAACAATATAGAATCCATAATGTCTAGCATACAATAAAAATTACTAGACAAATGAAGCAGCAAAAAAATGTGGCCCACAATCAGTAAAGAATCAATTAGTAGAAGACTCAAAATGAACTTAATAAAAAAAAAATAGGGTGGTGCTTGTGGCTTAGTGGGTAAGGCGCCAGCCCCATATACTGAGGGTGGCAGGTTCAAACCCAGCCCTGGCCAAACTGCAACAAAAAAATAGCTGGGTCCTGTGGTGGGCTAGCTATCCTGCAGTTGGGGCTACAGGCATACACCCCCATGCCCAGTAATTTTTTTGGTTTTTTGTAGAGATGGGGTCTTGCTATGTTGCCCAGGCTGGTCTTGAACTCTTGCCCTCAAGCAGTCCTCCCACCTCAGCCCCCCAACATGCTGAGATTACAGGCTGTGGTAGTCCCAGCTACAGGAGGTTGAGGCAAGAGAATCACCTAAGCCCAGGAGTTGGAGGTTGCTGTGAGCTGTGTGACGCCAAGGCACTCTACCAAGTGCGACAAAGTGAGACTATCTCTGCAAAAAAAAAAAAAAAAAAAAAAACAGAAAAGAAAGTAAGACTCTGTCTCAAAAAAAGGTCAAGATCTATGCTGGGTACTGTGGCTCAGACCTATAATTTTAGCACTCTGGGAGGCCGAGGCAGGCGGATTGCCTGAGCTCAGGAGTTCAAGACAGGCTGTGCAAAAAACAAGACCCCATTTCTACTAGAAATAAAAAAAAAATGAGCCCGGTGTTGTGGCAGGCACCTGTAGTCTCAGCTGCTCAGGAGGATGAGAGAAGAGAATCACTTGAGCCCAAGAATTTGAGGCTACTGTGAGCTGTGATGCCATGGCACCCTACCCCAGAGTGACTGAGTGAAATTCTGTCTGAAAAGATAAAAAATAAATATATAAATAAACGCATGTATGCATGCATACATACATACCATTGACCAT